CCTCGTCGTCGATGTCAGAGAAGCTTTCATCGACGCCTCTGATTTCTACAAAATTGATTTATGATCTTGCTTGGTTTCTATGTTGTGAGGAGGAAGAAGAATTTCAAAGAAGAGATTGATGACTGAGAAATCAAGTTTGTGAAGAATCAATTCAGATTCAAGGAGAATCGATTGAAGAGTTTATTAAAGGAGAAAGATCTTCTCAGAGCTGGCAGATTCGAGAGGAATTCTTTCGACGACGAAGCTTGAAGTCACTGTGAAGAGAATCTCTCAGGATTCCAAACATGTATGAAAGAATTCATGACAAAGATCGTGAGTATCAGAATAATGAATAGATTCAAATTTAAGGAGTTGTACCATGTGAATCCAGCAGAATCGAGAGCAGTCAAGCAAACAAGTGTGTTATCCTGGGAGAGAGCTTAATTCACGACGATTATCTCCTTAAATACTCTGATTATGAGCTTGTCGAGCACCTTGATTGTTCAGAGGTTTCATTGACGAACGCCAAGGAGAAAGGGGTTTTCGATAGAGAGGAAGTGTGGAGGAAGAAGCTAAATGGTTTGGTGTCTAAGGACGATGGAGGAAGTGTGGAGGAAGAAGTACATTAAGACAGGTGAAGAAATCGTTGTTTCGAGGACGATATTTGGTGTTTTCTTAGTTGAGACAATGACAAATTTTGGCATTTTTGGGTTCCAAGACGAACTCTTCTAGAACAACAATTGTCGACTTAAGTTTAGGGGAAACAACGTAACCGCGTTATGGCCTGGGAATGTAAAACTTAGATTGTGGATGAATTTGAATTTGAGAATGAGAACGATTTATAGCTTAATTGTAAGAGAATGGGAGATCTAACTAGCTAAATTAGGTATGTTTCATGTCATGATCGTTGTGTTGCTATGCCTTGGATTGTATCTTCCATAATATACTAGCTTTCATGAAATTTTTGCTCTTGATTACCATACGTATATACAAACGATCGAAGATATACATGTATCTACTCAACTAATTGGTTTCATGTCTAAATCGTTGGTTTGTATCTCTTTTATTTAAGGTGTAAAGAAAATGACTCAAACGTTTCAGTTAACTAATTGGTTTCATGTCTACGATATTTTATAGAGTATGTTTCAATTTATCAGTTTGTACAACTACGTAAACCTGGTATCACTATGATTGTAAGATTGGTACTTTTGGTGAGTTTGACTGAAAGATAAGAAGAAGACGATGAAATTAAATGGAAGGTCTTCTTTTAAGGTTTTGGTATCATAAAAAAAGAGACCGTTGATTGTGATGGAGGATACACACAAAGGGATTGGATTCATTATTCATGATTTCATCATTTTCTAAGAAATAAAATCCATGAAAAGAGAAACATATTAAAAACGTGGCTTGATTGGTCTTTTACATTATTAAAGAGGAAAATGCCAGAAGAGGTGCTAGTAGAGGTTTTTATTATACGTTTCAATCTCTTGTTTGCACAACTATGTAAACCTAGTATTACTATGACTGTTTGTAAGTTTTAAAATATTTTTGGTTTCATTTATTTTAAAATCTTTTGGTTTTACATTTTGACATTGAAAAAATCTATAAATCATAAAATAAATGTTATAGATATATTTGTTATATAACATAAATATAATTGATAATAGATATTTTTATCA